CAGAGGGCTGGAGATCCCTTCTGCCCACGCTAAATGATGCTGGGAGGACACGCTACAAGATCTTAAATGGGAGCAGTCCCAGGGTTGAGACAGAAAGTTCAGGTTCTCTCCTCCTACGTGCGCATCCCTGCCTATGTGCAGAGAACCATTCAGGGCTTTTGAAATTGTATCGATACGCCATGCAGGATATGATCGGGAAAAAAAGAAAAGAAAATGTGCTGATCTGATTTGACTTAACAAACAGACCCATTTCTTTGCTCCTCTTCTTCCCTGTTCCTGGTCATTGCAGGAATGTCCTCAGAATATGTGTCTCATAAGAACCTTCTAGCGAGTTCATGTTTTGGGTCTGCTCTGAGTTGAGATCAGAGGCAGCTTGGATTTGGAATTCATTTTCAGAACTCTCAGAAGGCGCTTAAGCTCTGGTTATTTTTGAGTAATCCCACAGTGCCACACTTGGGTAGGTTCCAACCCAGGTCATTCCCCTTCCTGCCCTTCCACTTGCAGTCAGGCAGAGGTGGGCATGAAAGAGGATGGAATTCTGGGTACATTGTTGGCTCACAGTCAGGGGGTCGCCCCCACCCCACCTGATCTAGCCCTCCCTTCAGGCAAGGTCATTATCAACTAACAGCCAGCTGCATTTCCCTCATGGGAATGCTAAAGAGACAGAGTTAATAAAAATCTATCTTATTAACAGCCTGACCTACCAGCATTGATCACATTAGAAATGATGCCGCACACACAGTCCCCATTATGTGCATGAGGCAAGGCTCAGTGGAGCTCAAAAAGCCATTTAAATCCGTCCAGGAGTGACTCCTTCAAGTGCCTGAAACATCCCCCAAGCTAATAACTCCTGACAAAGCGCTGCCAGGGAAAATTCCTTGCGGATTTGAGATTTTCACTCTGTTAATCTCCTAACTCAATAAAGCAAACACTCCCTCCAGCAAATTAAATACTTTTATTAAAGGGTCCCCTCCCTTGTTCTCTTAGACATGGGTATTGTTGGACTCATAACCCTGCCAGGGCCTGAGTGACAGCTCAGTGATAGGCTGTCCCCCTTTCCCCATCATCTTCTGTTACTCCAAGGGGGCCCAGAACCCACCTAAGATTTACTGATTCTGGAAAATTCTGAGACCTCTGGCTTTCCTGAGCAGATCCCACAGCCTGTCAACTGAGACAACTGCTCCCCATCTTTTGTGGGGATGACAGGCCCCAAACAACTGTGACTTAAGCAACTCCACCCTTGCATTTTGCCAGGAGGAGGACCCAGGAAAACTGTGCAGGCCATGAGGGGCTTCTTGGCCAATGGCCAGGCCCTTCTTCTGATTTCACTAGATGCTTGCTGGTCATACCTTGAACAGTTATCTGGAACTAACAGATGGGAGTTAGCTGGAGAGAAGGTTAAAGGAGAGGGGGGCAGATGGAGAGAAACGCTTGATGGGGATGACCCTCAGCTCCCCTTCTCCCACTGTTCCCTATCCTCAAGCTGGCCCTCAAGCCACTCCTCTCTGGGATCTGCTTAGAATTGGGTTCAGCCATTTTAGCTTCTAGTCACCACTCTCCTTTCACTTTTGGTTGGAGCCAGGTTATCCTGAGGTCCTTCTAGGGCCTCCGCAGATATCTGCAGGTATTCTCAGAAACCCAGGTAGGACTGGGTTTCTAGAGCGCCACAAGCATCATAATAAAAAATTTTCAGTCTTGAGAATGATAGTATCCCCAAGGAAACCCCACCATCTTGTAGATGGCATCTGCCAGACCCCTTTATATTTTAGGAGGAGTCCCCTTCTAGAAACGTCCCCATCAGTGTATCCGTTTCATTGCTGGTTCTGTTGTGCAGAGGCTTTATGGATCTACACCCAGAGAGAAGAGAAACAGTGTGTTTTGTCTGTGGCGACAGCCCCGGTCTCTGAGGGCCCTGAGCCTTCTCAGCATGGAATCTGTGGTGTGTGTGATAGACCCTCATGGAGGGTCTGGTCTCTCAATTGTTGCCAGGACTTCTGGGTGCACACCCTGTCTGGGGTGGGGAGAAGGCACCCCCTCCCTCCTGGGCTTCTGAGAAGGTCCTGCCCAGATTCCCTCCTCTCTATTTGTTCACCTTGGGCAGGAGAGGCCCTCGCCCAGGGCAGGCAGGGGCTTCAGGCCCCAACCCCTCAGAGGTGTTAAGCCATAAGAGCCCAGGCTGGGCCCTGGTCATTTGGAATGCACCCCCCAAACCCCCCATCAGCCCTAAATAGACATCCTGGGCTCCACAGCTGCTCCCATTTATCTCAAACCTCAATAGAATGACCTCTAGACCTCCTCTGGATGTCAAAACAGAGTCCTGGAAGTTGGAAAGTGGAGTGAGGTGGCTGGGAAAATGACGAAGGCATGAAAAAGGACATAAGCCAGACAGGCCTGGGCTGGAATCCAGACTCAGCCACCTACACACATTGACCCTTGATGAGTACCCCAGTTTCCTTTCTTTTTTTTTCTTTTTTTTTTTTTGAGTTGGAGTCTCACTCTGTCACCCAGACTGGAGTGCAGTGGCCGCTTCCGGCCACCGCAGCCTTGACCTGCTGCCTCTGGCAATCCTTCCGCCTCAGCCTTCCTAGTAGCTGGAACTACAGGTGCGCACTACCATGCCCGGCCAATTTTTTTTTTTTTGAGTTGGGGTCTCACTCTGTCGCCCAGACTGGAGTGCAGTGGCCGTTCCCGGCCACTGCAGCCTCAAC